ATAGTGTTTTAGCATGGCAATAGAAAAGCAACTAAGACAGTTAGGTATTATACATAAAGATGATTCAACTTACATAGGTCGATGTACAGATTATATTCAAAGACTGCACCATTTTGTATGAAGCACTTGAGCATCCTCACATTTTGATATCTTCCAGATGTCCCAGAACCACTGTCTCATGAATATAGAGGAATACATGGTATCTATTTTCTATTGAAGTGTGGGGGGAACTACATAAATTAGTGTCACCTAGAATTTTCCCAAGGCATGAATAAAATGTAAAGAATAGCTAAGACCATCAGAATCTGACAGCTCATTGGTATTTTAGGATAATATTAAAGATGGCCCAGTTAGGAATTTTTCCACTGGTCACCTAAGCCTTGCTACATTACCAAATAAATAACATTTTGAAATTGAAGAATAAAGCTGGCAGCATCTCCAATACAGAGATGGCTCAGTTAGCAAAGCACTTGCTTTGCAAGTATGAGTATTTAAGTTTGGATCTCCAGTACCTATGTAAAAAGCCAGAAATGGTGGCACACATCTATAATCCCAGTAATGGGGGGGACAGGAGGATATCAAAGCTGGCCAGCTATTCTAGCTGCATCAACGAGCCCCAGGTTCAATAGAATAATCTGTCGCTGAATGAATGAATGAATGAATGAATGAATGAATGAATGAATGAATGAGTAAGTAAATAAATAAATAAATGAATGAATGAATGAATAAATAAATAAATAAATATATAAAGTGGAAAGTTATGGATGAAGATAACCAACATTTACTTCCTGACTCCATACACACAGGTCCACCTGCAAACACGTGCATAACACACACACACACACACACACACACACACACACACACACACACACACACACACACACTCATGCACGCATGCACACACACATGCACACATGCATACTCACACAGTAAGGATTTTTCAAGTTTGAACTAGAGGTTCCTTTTGCACAGCATTCATCCTCTCCACCCAACCAGCTCTCCCACATCCTTCCCTAGCAATAAGACATCACTATCTTAATATCTGCCAAAAAAAGACTTCAAACTAAAACTAATTCAAAGAGATAAAAAGAGACAGTTCATTCTAACTAAGGGGAACAGTTAACCAAGAAAACATTACTATCCTAAATATATATGCACCAAACTCAGGGGTGTACAATTTCATTAAAAAATATCTACTACTGGAATTAAAGACACACATAAACATCAATCCATTAATAGTAGGTGATTTCAATACCCCACTTTGTCCAATAGGCAGGTCATCTGGAGAAAAACAGAGAAACATCAGAACTAATTGGCATCATACATCAAAGTAAGTATAGTCTTTACCCCTCCTTCAGTAAGAAAACTTCTCTTTGCAAAAGATGGAGAGCATTACAGAAAATCACAACGATTCAAAATGCAGAGCTGTGGAGTCCAATCATAATGGATACACCTATGAAATGCTTCCTACACCTGAAGCTCAGGGAATATTGCAGAAGAGGGGGCAGAAACATTATGGGAACCAGGGGATCAGGGAGTTTGCTGTAAAACTGTGCCTCCTGGCAATACCAGAAGATAAAGTCTCACCAACATGACTGCCTAAACATGACCTGAACAAGGACAGCAACAAACATGCCAAGGTGAATGGAGAAAAGACCATGAGGACTCAACCCTTCACAAATAACTATAGGCAACTAAGGAATGCTAGTAATCTTAGGTACAAATAGTCTTTCCCATAGGAGAGCACACCAATTGGTTATTCAGTACCAAATGGTCAGCCCTGAAAACACACATGCAAGTAACATATAGAGTGAGCATGTTATATTTAAGAATATAAGTATATTCATATACATGTATGTATGAAACAACAATTAGTGAAAAAAGCGACCATGAATTTAAAGAGAGCAAAGAAAGGTATATGGGAGGACATGGAGTAGGGAAATAATTATATTACAATTTCAAAAATAAAAAAATATTTTTTAAAAGTCTGAACTGTTATGAATTAGGTTTAAAAGGGCAGGATGACTTGCCTAGATCTATGACTATGCTACTACATGAAGATGGTCATAGAGATATTGAAAATCCTTTGCTGAAGTTATCAGCTTTGAGTCATCAGATTTTACAGCCCTAAATCTAGAATGTCTATGAATAATTCAGATTGAAAATGGAATGGGATAGACAAGCTGAAAAATAGCATGATAAGAGCTGAGAACCAAGGACAGCAGAGCAGATGGCTATAGATTATCATCTGCCATTAGCAAGAAGTTGTAAAACCATCTGTCTTTTTCCTTTGTATTTTTGACTAAAATCAGGACTACATAGAGGACTGTGTAAGCTTTAGCCCTATTCCTTAAAGTTAACAACTTATAAGACAATTGTACAAGTGTGTTCCATGGAAGTTTGACAGGCAGAGTCAAGACTGAGCATATAAGAGCATCAAAAGTGGAAGGTGATATTCAGAGCTTGAGGGAAGAAAGGATTCAAGAGTCTAGTGTTTCTAGAATCCAGAAGAAAGTAAGGTGTTGAAAAGGGTAGTAACAAAGAGCCCAAGATGGCATAAAAAAGGAACCCACCAAAGTCATGGAAACTAGAATATTAGACAAATTTTAAAAGCTAGTCCACCAAATCAGCTTTTGGGGGATGATAGCATGATAAAGCTGAAAACTCCTTTCCATGAGGATCAAACATAAAACTGGACAAAATAGTCAACAAGCATCCATTTTAGGTCTCTGACAATTGGCCAAAAATGAGCAATAAATTGAAAAACATTCCGTCTTAAGAAACTGCTAGAATTGGGGAATATATAGAACAGAACTTGGTGGGCATCCTACTGGACTGCTCACTTTCTCCAGGAAAGAGCTAGCTGAAAATGTAGCTCTGTCAGCTAAAACATGGCAAGCTTGATAGAAAACGAAGGAAAATCCAGTCTGAAATTTCAAAGGGAGATCCTGAAACTGAAAAGGGCACCACGATAACAATACTAGGTCCGGTACAAGGAAGACCACAGAAAGCCCATTGGAAACAAAAACCAAGGAAGTCAGAGAGGTACCTGAATTTGAAGGCACTCAAATTACTCAAATGCCAGAGCACTAGGTCTGCCCTACCTCTTGGCTGAGCACAAGCTTGTATACATTGGGATAATCTAACGAGGTGAACCTAAAAAATAAAATAAAGGACTGAAAATTGAACACAGGAATCCACAGCCACATATATCCAGAGACACATTCTGCAATGTAAATCCAGGAAAATTTTCAGAAAAGTAAATTAGCATCCAGACTGCTACAATATATTATCTAAAATGTCCTTTTTCAACAACAAAAATATATACTACAAGAAAGAAAAAAGGAAAGGGGTTGAATCAATAGAAAATTACTCTGAGTTAATTCCGATAATAGATTTAGGAAGGATTTGAAAATGGCCATTATAATGTGGTTCAAAGAATTAAGGTATATTCAAGGAATTAATAGTAATATGGTAACAATGACTGCAAATAAATAACAGAAATAGAAAGTATTTTTAAAAATAAATTCTTCCATTGAAGTTATAAAAATAGAAATTATCTGATCTACAGAACATTTTTAAAGCATTGAAAAAGTGAACCATAGCAAAATCTTTGTAAAATAGGGATATAGTACCTATACCTCTCAGAACTGACATTATGATTAATCGATTAATAATTGTAAAGCACATACTGAGGAGATGGTCAATGTGTAAGAGCACTTCCTATTAAAGATACATGACCTGAATTCAGATCCCTAGCACCTACATGAAAGCCAGGCATGGCCACACATGCCAGCAACCCACCCTTGGGGATGAGGAAACAGGTGGATCCCAGAAGCTTATTGGCTGGCCAGCCTAGCTGAAAAAAATAATGGTAGGTTCAATGAAAGACATGCTTAAAAAACTAAGGTGAGTATTGGTAGAGGAAAATATGTGATGTCCTCCTCTGGTCTTCTTGGGAATGTGCATAAGTACAAATCTTTCTCTCTCTCTCTCTCTCTCTCTCTCTCTCTCTCTCTCTCTCTCTCTCTCTCTCTCTTCTCTCTCTCTCTCTCTCTCTCTCTCACACACACACACACACACGTATATATCATGCAAATACACACATAAATTCAAAAGCACCTCTTAGCATACTGTAAATATACAATAATTGTTAGCTGCTATCAGCATCATCAACACTATCAAGATCAACAATATTTTCTTTTCTAAGAGAAGATGCAGTGGCTAGCTCAACATGGGTTTAAAAGTATTTAAGGATATTTTCCTATCTGCTGATAGGAAAAAGATAAATAAATCATAACTTTTAATAAATCACAGTGATACAGCTTTCAGTTCTCTGGCATGGACTATCGCAGTGATTATCTTTTAGTTCAGTTTCTCAGTGCTGTAACCCTTTAATACAGTTTCTCATATTGTGGTGACCCCCAGCTATAACATTATTTCCTTGCTACTTCATAACTGTAATTTTGCTACTGTTATGAATCATGATGGAAATATCTGATATGCAGGATATCTGATATGTGACTCCTGTGAGAGAGCCATTAGGCCCTTGGGGGTTGTGACTCACAGGTTGAGAACCACTGTTCCAGTTGCTTCTTAATTATACAAACTATTCTACATATCTAATCATACTAAAGTATTCATTCTTTAAGCTCTCCAAATGTTTCTACCTGCATATGAAAATTCAGAGAAATGTACATACAAATATTATCTATCTATGTTTTTATAACTACAGCTAGAAATAACTTCAATGTTTGCATCCTAGTGAGAATTCTTCTGATATATGTTGATGCTAAGATTGGGAGTTCTGTAATAGATGGAAGATCTGTACCACATAATATTAGAAAAGAGAGCTGGAAGTCCATGACATGGATTTTGCTAAAACAAAATAACTGCAAGCTGGCTACTCTGAGTTGAGGAGAATTACAGAGTTTAATGTAAAGAGATTTCACTTCCCACCAATGTATTTATCGATTTCACTTTTTCGAAATACTCACTCTGTTTTGGGAACAGCTTTTCTTAGCCAGAAGAAATCAGACTGTGCTAAATACTTGCGGGTTTGCAGTACATTGCCAAAGTAGTCCGATTCTGAAAATTTGATCTGCATAAAAACAAACCACATCATTATTGTTAGAAATGCAGATAAGAGTTTTAAAAATAGACTTCAGCCCACCAAGGAGCAACCAGAAGAGAAGCTTTGGGCCTCACAACATCACTCAGCCATACATAACTCAGGATTCACAAAGCCATGAAATTTAATCTCAGTAATTTTCTTTTAACATAAAAAGCTCAAAAATCAATATGATCATTTCTGGATCACAGGGAAGAAAACAAGAGAAGCTTCAGTTGTTTACTGTGTTCTGTTTACTTTATAATTGAAAATCCCACTTTAACCTTTGCTAAACATACCATCTTAGATCTGAAATTTCTTGGCTCATGAGTTCTTGATCCTTTCTAAAATGTGTGCTTTATTTATTTATCACATAAGATTTTTCTAATCACATTCTGAGTATTCAGCTGAAACCTCATTTAGCTTATAGATGATGATTTAGTGAAATGCTAAAAATCCAATTTACTGTAATTGGCATTTGTTCATAAAGGGAAAAATGGAAGCAATTCAGAAACCTATTTTCCACCCTACGTACAATGGAGTCACCTAAATAATTTAATTATTAACAAGATTTATCTATTAACACGAAGAATGGCTCTAATTGCGAAAAGACAAAATTACAGAGGCAAATCACAGATTATAGACTGCATGGAACTACAGGAAATTGAGGACTCACAACAATGTTGTCTGCTAAGATAATGGGTTATTTAGTTCTTTGTTTTTTCCTGGAAAGAAAGTAATAAAAATTTCAGTTCTAGCTCATTCTATCCAAAGCTAGCATTACTTCATCTATATATTATAGTGACGTTTATATTACAGTAAAAGCAATAATTTGTAGTGATCTTGAAAGCCTTGTTTCTAAAATCTCTTACTGGCATAAGAAGTTCAAAAGTAACTGTCATTAATAAGAAAAACATACGTGAGTAAGTAAACAACCAAGAACAAATTCTTGTTTTTTAAGTGCTCACTATTTTTTACTGGGCTATACTAATTGTGTAAAAGAGTAGGATTCACTGGCATTATCTTACATGTACACAAGGTATTTTGATCACATTTTCTCACGCTATTATCTACACTTATTTCTCTCCCCTCCTCACTGGCCCTTTTCCTACTCCATGATAACCTCTACTTCTCTTATGTTTTTTTTCCCCACAAATAAAAAAGAAGTATGTCAGGTTTGTCTTTCCAAATCCTTAACATGATGATCTCTGGGTCATTTTACTTAATCATTGCCCTTCTAACGAACACCTATTGTGCAGTGCTAAGGATTTCAGAAAAAGGCTGGATTTCAGAAAAAGAACATTGATGTGCAAATATGTATTTTTAATTTCTTTTCAAAAATTTCATACAAGCATATAATGTACCTTGGTCATATCTATCCCCTACTCTCTCCCTTCAGCTCACCCAATCACATTGACATATTTTCCATCTTCCTCCCAATTACATTTATCCTTTTTTTAACCCACTAAGTTCAATAAATGTTGCCCATATGTATATATGTGGTCATCCATCAGAAGTCTCATTTTTAACTGGACTGAATGCTGACTAAGCACCAGCACAACTCCAATTCTTTAAAAAGACCGGAAAGAAAACATTCTAAAGTAAGTCAATTAAAAAAAAAAAAAAACCTTAGCTAATTTAAAACCCAAAAGTAATTCCTTAGTAGCTGCTAATCTTTTGATAACTTTAAACCATATTCTTTATTACTTTTTGTGTGTAGGTGTGTGTGCCTTAGAGTATGCAGGTAGATGTGTGCACCACATGCATGCAGGTCCCACAAACGCAGTAGAGAGCATCAGATCTCTTGGAACTGGAGTAATAGGTAGTTATGGTTCACCCAGTGTGGGTGCTGGGAACCAAACCAAGGTCCTCTGCAAGAACAGCAAGTGCTCTTAACTGCTGAGTCAAAACCATCGTTTTTTTAAAGAAAAAGAAAAACAGCCAATGAATGTGTATGAAACACAACCATTGCATTATAAATATAAATGTACATATTCAATATGATGGTTATAGCCTTAATAAGTAACATGGTTGTTGGCCAATCGATGTCTAGCTCACATTTAACTGATCCCAAACATAAAGTGAGTATTGTGTCTCAGAATGAAATAAATCTTAGTGAGTCATGTTAACAATATTCCCAAAGGGAGAAGGATAAAACAACCGAAGACACACTGAGAACAATAGGAATGAAAATATGGATTCCTGGCAACGGTGTCATTCTGCTTGGCCAAAAAATTTGAAGGCAATGACTTCAAATTGTCCCTTCTTAAAACTACTTGAGCAGGGGAGAACAAGGCTGATAAATAAAGCACAGCATAATAGAAAGCAATAAAGAAATCTAAATGAATGCTATGTGTGCACAAATGTGAAATATTCTCAAGAACATGGTAAATAATGCCAGTTGTATGTCTGAGAGAATATAAAGTTTTCATGGAAAATATCAGGAGGTGGGAAGGTTGTGGGAGGAGTTGGGGGAATTAAATATATTGTGTCATGATCAAAATATAGTCTATGGAAAAGAATTAAAAATGTATACCAAAAACACTTACCAGTCTTTTGTCTAAGATCAAGTGCATAATGTACATAATAATAGTACATATTGTTTATGTACACATACTTATGTAGCAAAGGCTTTTATAAATAAGACTAAATTCAAGATAGTGTTTATATTTTGAAGAATATAAACATGGGAAAGGGAGATTGAATCAGAAAACATTATACACAGAACTTAAAGTGTATCTATTTTATTCACTGAACACTTATGTGTATGCTAGACAGTGAAACACACCTGTCAACCAGGTACCTAGGAAGCTAACGCAGGATTACTTGAGCCTAGAACTTTGAGGCCAACCAGGGCAACACAATAGTAACACTCCTATCTCTCTAAAATAACAGTAAAATAAAATGTGTATATATGTGTACAAAGTCAGTTTAATAATATCTGTTGAAGATTAATCCTTCACATATTTTATATACTGTCAGTGGTACAAATGTTTCATAATAGAAAAAAATATTAGAATTGGTTCTATTGTAAGATAGAGACTTTCTCTTAGCCTAAAACAAGAATAGAAAACATGTTTTAGAAAACAATTTTAACCAACAATCCTAAGGCATCTCTGGGCCATGGGGATAAAAGATATGTCCAAGACCTTCAGAATAAGATTATAACTAATAGAAAATTCAGATATGTTCTTTATTTCAGAATACTGTCTAAGAAATTCTCCAAAGGAATATCCTTAACAAATATTATCTATTATTTTCATATCAGTGAAGTCAGTTTTTTTACGGTTAGATGAATTTGCTAACCTCAGTACTTTCCAGTTACATATACAAAGCCAAAGGCTGACCTCTAAATTGGTTCACAGACTTTAGAGAGAAAATCATTCCCAAACTTCCTGAAAAAGATGACAAACTGAGTGAGTGGTGGCATACACCTGTAATTGCAGCACTCCAATAGGATTGGGACTTGTAAGCCTAAATAATTTACATAATGAGACCCAACCTTGCTGTGGGATATTCTGTATGTTAAATGTGTTGCTCTGATTGGTTAATAAATAAAACATTGATTGGCCAGTAGCCAGGCAGGAAGTATAGGCGGGACAAGGAGAGAGGAGAATTCTGGGAAGTGGAAGGCTGAGTCAGAGAGACACTGCCAGCCACCGCCATGACAAGCAAGATGTAAGGTACCGGAAGGCCACGAGCCACGTGGCAACTTATAGACTAATAGACATGGGTTAATTTAAGATAGAAGAATTAGATAGCAAGAAGCCTGCCACGGCCATACATTTTGTAAGCAATATAAGTCTCTGTGTGTTTACTCAGTTGAGTCTGAGCGGCTGTGGGACTGGCAGGTGAGAGAGATTTGTCCTGACCGCAGGCCAGGCAGGACTGGAGGAAACTCCAGCTACACAACCTGGAAATGGAAAGAAGGGTTCAAGTCTAAACAGTTAGCAAAGCTATCATATCCATGACAACAATTCACCACCACAGCTTCTCTACCTTTAAAATAATAATTTTGTACTGTTTTAGTTACTAAACTGAGAATATTTATCTACTCCACTAATTTAATAGAAACCACAAGTAATGGAATTATTTTCATATGTTATGTGTGTGTGTGTGTGTGTGTGTGTGTGTGTGTGTGTGTGTGTGTGTATGACATATCACAAGAACACATCTTAGGTTTTTTTTTCCTTTGAGACAAGTTTTTAAGGGTAGAGAGTGGATCATCATTGATATTGTCATCTGATAGGAAGAAACTACAGGGTGTAGATAAAGCCATACAGTCTAAAAAAATTGGCTCCTCGTTTAGTGTTATTTTCTTTGGTCCTAATAGGAAAACAAAATGATTCAACAATGAGAGCTAACAAAAGAGGAGGAGAAGATAAGAATTGGTACTCGTAAGGAAGCAGTAACTGAGTCATAATGCACCTTTCTCAGTGCAATACTATATAGCTGTTAAAACAATGTTAGTAAATATTTATGGGAGACAGTGACAATAGAGAATGTTAACTGTAAAAGAAAGTACAAAGCTATATGTTAACATAAATGATAGCTATAGAGAAATGAAAAGAAACAACATACTCTAACAGAAGTATTATGTTTAACTACCAATATTGTGGGTACCTTTTGTTCCTTTCCTCTGTCTCCAAAATGTTCTGTCCTCTGATACTTTGATAATTTAAAATTTTTCAAAAATCATATTTATGAGAAAAACTTGAAGTCCAGCAACCTTTGAGAAAGTTTTGTTTGTTGTACAGACAGAAGAAAAAAAATGAATGTGAACATATACTCTAAAACTTTTTAAAGCTCTATAAGAGACAGATTAGGTCAAAAGCCTGTTGTCCTTTCAATTACTAAAGGAAATCTAGGTCAAGTTGATAATGGCTTTCAATCAATTCCATTTTGACCTTTCAACTAAGTGACCTTTGTGTACCTAGTTGGGGTTCTCATGTCATTTTGTTGGAACAGCTGTCCAGATTAAAAAATTCATG